GGAGGAGGGAAGCCTGAGAGGTAAAGTGGCAGGCCAAGTAGGAAAGAGAGAAGGGGAGGCACTTAAGAGGGGGAGAAGGGGGAAAGGAAGCTTCAACCGGACCCTAATATATATATATTTTTTTTTAATAAGCTGGAGATCGACTTCAATAAATATTCTACGAGAATGAAGGATTTTCAGTTAAATAGAAAAGCTTACCTCTGTTGATATGGATATTCAAAAGTCTGTTTGTTACTTCAAGTAGTTGTTTTAATTGCTTAGCATTTAGTTTCCACCCACAAAGCAACTTTTCAGTCACAAATGTCCTTATCATGGCTAGCCAGTCTGAATCCTCTTGCAGAGTTGAAGGATTTGCCAAAGAGACCATAATGTCACATAATGTTAAATTTAACAAAAGATAATCCAAGCCATTATAAGGAAGCAATCCATCTTTATTCCTAAACAAAAGAAAACATGTGCTATAATTGGCTTATTGTTGAAATATTTCAACAGAATCATCCTTCAAAATGTCATGGTTTTTCTTTGCGGGTTCAGATTTGTGCAACATATCTCAAAAGGAATTATAACATCTTTCGCCATGGCCACTGCATTTAACAGATATTATAGCAGGGAGTCCTTCAGAAACCACTGCTCTGGACTCCCACTGGTACTAATCATGAGATGTATTTTGCATGCATTGGTCACATAATTTATGCTGATGGGGACAATGCAGGGATCAGCCAGAGCTGCTGATTGGCTTATCAGTACCCTATGCACCTTCAGAATAGATCAAGTGACGAATAACCTGGTATTTAGCCACCAAAACAGAACAAAACAATATTTTCCAAAACAAAGGAAACTAGTTAAACATCTTATAAGCATTTATCAGTTTAATAAAATAGGATTAAAATTTAAATTATGGTTTAGTTTTGAAAAATCGAGATCACTACTACTTAACCAGTTGTGAACTTTGGGCATATGAAGTACACCAAAAAATACTTCAACTTGGCCATATACCATAACACTCTTGTCCACGAAATGAAGCTTAAGAACAGTGTTCAGAAACTTGATTTCTTATTATTACTACATAGTCTTTACACTATTTTATTAATGGGCAGATCAAAGGAGTTAATGCAGAGGCTGCGGGATTCCTATTGACGCAGGACCTGCAGTTGTGGGGACATGATTTTTTTTTCTGCATTTAGCCCTGCTGCGGGCAAGCCGGGCTAAATGTAGCGCAGGGAAGCTGCTGCTCGTCTTGTACAAGTGATCTGGGCAGCTGTCCAGTCGCCCAAATCACTTGCAGCAGCTTACTTGTCCACCCCCCGTACTGCCCCTTCGTGGTTTTTGGGGGTTCCCTGCTCTTTTGGGGGACTCGGACCACAGCAAAGATTTCAGGATGGGGAGCAGGCCAGAGAACATCCATTCTCTGGTCTGCTCTGTGTGACCAGTTTGGCAGGAGCTCATAGCCTTCCTGCATCAAGCTGTCACATGCAGGACTGTACAGAACTTCTAGCAACAATGCTGTGCTCGTAGTTCTGTATTGGAGGGTAGGCTCCAAAAGGAGTATCTGTCACCTCCAAAGCTATCACATAGAGGCTTGTGAGCCCCTGTGTGATAGCAATAAAGTTAAGTGATAAAAAAATTGAAATATATAAAAAATAAAAAGTGATTAAAAATAAAATAAAAATTAGAAAATAAAAAAAATCAACACACCCATTCCACTGTGTGTCATATTGTGGTAGCCGGGCAGCAGCACTCTAAACATGCTTAATGTGCATTAGGGGAAGTTCACTTTCCCAAGTAGTTGGGGAAAATTGAATTACCTGCTCATATCTGCCCCCCTTTGTTATATTTGCCTTTCCGCGGACGGTCCTTCCCCTCCGTTGGTAGGGGTGTACCCCATATTGCTCTCCAGCACAGCCCTGCGCTTTTGATTTTGAATTTTGCTTGCAAATTGTGAGCACTCATTGCTCAGTACATTCAGGTTAAATATGGTTTTGGTTAAAATAATTTTTTGTATCAGGACAAGTGGATTAAAGTGGGGGCCCAATCTACTTGTCCTTCATGACAGTCATTGGACAAGCAGTTTTTTTTGTTTTTTTAATGTCCACATCCATGTAATGCTAACCATCTCTAACTCCTTCCCCCCTCATTTAGGCTTTTTTTTGGTGATTTTTGTATATTTTAACTTGTTTAGTTATCATTCATTTGTTAATTTTTTTGTGTTGCAGTAAGAAAATGCACAGCATTAAAAGTGAAGAAAAGGGGGTGGCTGTTTTGCCTAATTTATCAAATACATTTTCAATGCTTTGTACCAGAAACAGAATTTTAGTGCCATACACAAAAATCACAAAATTAAATGCAGTAATAATGGGGTTTGGAAACTAATACTGGTCAAAGTTGTTTTGCTACATTTGTTGTAGTGCATGTACAAATAAGCAAATGGTAGAAACGGTTAAAAAAGCAGGAGAGTGATATTACTTAGTGCCAACTTGGCCAGAATTTGAGGGCCTGGAGCTAAAAGATTTAAGCAATTCAACAGTTACTGATAGGCTTGTGTACTTTTTAGGCAATTCCTTAATAATGCCAACACTGTACTGAATAATAATAATATAAATAAGAGTAGAATGCACCCATTTACAGTATTTACTCAAATAGTTTTATTATTTTTCTGTTTTCTGCTTTTTCCTGCACTGTAACATGTCATATCTATGTACACATTTCCAGGTATATGGCTAATTTAGTAATTAAATAAATCTGAACGTAAGGAACAAGGAATAAATATTAGAAGTTTGCAAATGTTAAAGAGTTTTACTATAAACTTTTTCAAGGCCTTAATAATGCACTTTTTTAAATAATCCGGTACCTTGTCCACAACATCAGTAATTATTTGCGCTGTTATGCGCATTGTGGACATTTTGATGCACGTTTGCATGCGCGTACATGAAGACACGCGTTTTGACTGGCAGCTTATGAATCATTGTGGGCAATGGACGAACACGCATTTAAATGTGCACGAAAATGTACAACACCCCGCTGCCTCGCGTTTCCATTGAAGTCTATTAGGCAAAAACATGGTTTTACCTGCCCAAAGAAGCTTATGTACCTTTTTAAAATCATGGGAATTCTTGTGTTGGGCATTAAAAGCGCTTTTCCAACTGCTCAAAAACGCCTAGGTGTGAACCAGGCCTTCCAGTTCAGTAAATACGAACATGTTTTGCGTGTGCACCCGTTAATATAATGAAGGAGTTTACCTCGCCATTATACAACTATCAGTGAAAAAAATATATAAACTAAACTAAACGGCTATGGCACACTATTGTTTACTGGCAAATGGAATATCTAAAGTTTGACACTTTATAAGCAAAAGATTACCGACCTCTGCAATACATATTCAGATTGCATTAGCAATCATTTGTTCATAAGCGCAAGAAGATTTTTTGCCAAAATCCTCATATGCAGGAGCAATAAATGTGTGCAGCAACCAACTAGTGTTGCAGGTCTTCCTTAGGAAATCAAAACTGAACACGGATTTTAAAAAAAGGACCAAACCTTTAAAACCAATCTGGGGTGTCAGGAAGAAACGCTTATTATATTTCGTTACGGAGACCTGGATTTCCCACTTAAGTGCAGGAAACCCAGATGTTCAATGAAACAGACCCTCACAAGGGGCTAAACATAACATATATTCCAATAGGCATCCAGTAGCAAAGGGACACTGAACTAACAAAACATTTAGTGATGACAATTGATCAAAGCATTTAAAAAAAATTTATTGTGCATACAAGAGGTGTGCTGAGTAAATTTATTCTGTACAACCAGAATATGTTTTTGTTGGAGCCAATAAAATAATATCCATGTAAAAGCTTCGCTATCAAAAGTGTTCCTTGACTCATGAGGATCATCAAACAAGGGCTCTTGGGGCAGGGACACTGATGGATGAAGAGCTGCTTGAGGGTAATTATCTCCTGGGACAATCCAGACCCCCCTGCTGGTATTTACTGCAAACACCTGTGTTAGCAATGCAGCGTACATGCTGGGACAGGGGCAGGGGAATATGATGGAACCTTCTTCCTGTGTGATCATCTGCACAAACCTATCTCACCAGCAGAAATATTGGTAACCTTTGGGACCTCTTGGACAAGACAAAGTCTTTCTGGATTCTACAATCAAGAGTGTGATTCGCTGAGACCTGCTTGAAAGACTCTCAACCAGGGACAGAGAAAGGTTTGCCTCTTACACGCAATGTTTTTGTTGAGGATTGTGCTATATGTGCATTGTTGTCATGTTTCTCTGAAACTCTTAGTAAAAACTTTTCTAACAATAAAATAATCTAAATGCTCTCTGCAGATTCACAGACTGCTTCACTCATCTCCACTCGCAAAGTTTTACAAATATAAAAGTAATACCCTTTTGTTATTTTTTTCTTCTGTTTCAGGCTATCTTGTGCGTTGTAAGGAAAATGCTTCATGAAATGATGCTTGAAATCTTTAAGATAATTCTTCCTGAACCAACCATCCTATCGGGGAAAAAAAACAGATATCAGTACTGTACATGAAATTAAACTCCTGGTTTAAAGTACTTTACCTAAGTGAATGTTGTTCTTTTGAAAATACTGTGATCTCTGTGAACTTTTACATTCTAAATACAAAGTACAAAATATATTTAAAGTGACATTAAAGCTACAACTCCCCCCCACACAAATCTTGCTTTAAGGACTTACCTTACGTGATGCCTCTTGATCCGAACAGATTCTTTCTTCCACTTGTTTTCCAAGGTCCTTCCAGCGCAGGCTCCTCGCGTCCCACTGTGTCTATCCAACATGTACACTCCCAGCTGCGCCCATTCGGCTTCTGTGCCGCTCTCCTCCTCTCCCATCCGATGCTCTGGACTGCACATGTGCCCGCCCACACTTCCTCCTTCACAGCGTTTGGGAGCTGGGACTTTTGCAGCGGCACTGACACAGGTTAAGTTTGTTGGTATTTGCCAACTTTCTATTTTTTGGGGGGGGGGGCATATATCTACTGCTTGCTAACAGTAGATTTATACCAACATTTTTTTTTAAATAATTAAAAACCCAAAACCTTTAGTTCTACTTTAATTAAGAATTCAGTAAAGAAATCAGCTCCAATTTCCATGCAAACCATTACAAGAAAACCAAAGACCCAGCTGACTTCCAAAGTGTAATACAGTATAAATCGTAGAAATGCAGTACTTTTGGTCTAAGCAAGAAACGAGCAGTGCATGGCACAGATTGGCTGTTATTCTTCACTGATTATAGAAAGAAAATATAATACACACACAAATAAGCAGTGATCTTGTCCAGGCCTCCCCACCCCCGTTTTCGGGGTCCCCCAGACCACGGCACATGAGCTTACCATAGAGCCTGCAGAGCAGACGAAGAACGTTCGTTCTTCGTCTGCTCTGTGTGATCACGGAGACCGGAGCGCTTTAATCACAGCTGTCAGGAACTGCACAGAACATCTGTTCTGTGTTGGGAGGGCAGGTTCCATAAAGAGAACCTGTCAACTCCAAACTATCAGATAGCGGCTTTTAAGCCCCTATGTGATGGGAATAAAAGCAGGGGGTTAAGGTAAAAAAAAAATATATAAAAACTAAAAAGGGTTAAAGTAAAAACATTTAATTAAAAACCAACCCCGCTGCCCCCATCTGCATACAAAAAAAAAAAATTGCACGCTTAGGAAATTTTGGCACCTCTGGGCAGTCGCCGGCCAGCTAAATTAGGACGCCACCTGGAGCTCCTCCCACCGGACCAGCGCTGACTGGCCGCTGCGAGTCAGCGCGTGTACTCTATATGTTCTATATGTAGAACATATAGAGTACACACTGCTAATACACCGGAGCAATAGTTACAATTCTCCCCTGCTAATATGAATGGATTAAATGATCCATAGTACATAACATGTCGTTGTACTATGGATCATTTAACCAATTCATGTTAGCAGGGGAGAATTGTAACTCTATTGCTGCAGTTTACTCTATATGTACTGTACATGTACTACACATAGAATACACTGCAACAATAGATTTACAATTATCCTCTGCTAATATGAACAGGTTAAATGATCCGTAGTACAACTACATGTTATGTACATATTATGTAGCACGGATCATTTAACCCATTCATGTTAGCAGTGCAGAATTGTAAATCTTTTGCTGCAGTGCATTCTATGTGGTACATGTACAGTATACATTCCCAATTCACTGCAGCAATAGATTTACAATTCTCTCCTGCTAACATGAATAGGTTAAATGATCCGTAGTACAACTACATGTTATGTAATATTATGCACTATGGATTATGATTTAACCTATTTATGTTAGCAGGGCAGAATTGTGAGCGCCTACCACAAGCTGAGCACTGAGACGCGATGCAGCGATCCTGCCCAGCGCCGACTACAAGAGGCACAGCGTGAGGCAACAGGGATCGGAGTGAAACTGAGGGAGGGAAGCTGGGACAGGGCTGGCTGTAAATCTATTGCTATAGTGTACTGGATGTGTGTACTGTATATGTAGTACATATATACAGCACACACCTCCACTACAGCAATAGATTTACAATTCTCCCCTGCTAACATTAATAGGTTAAATCATGATCCATAGTACATAACATGTAGTCGAACTATGGATCATTTAAAGTCACCTGTCCCTTTAAGAAAAGTATCGGTAATTGGTATCAGCAAGTACATGAGGGGAAGCACTTGTTCTTGAAAAAGTGGTATCGGGGCATCCCTAGTAGCCAGGCAGCAGAACTCTCTTACACACACAATGTGCATTAAAGGGTAAGTTTCCTTTCCCATGTAATATGCGAAAACTAAATTACCCAATCAAATTTGGCCCCGTCTCTCCCAGCCCCCCGGCGAACAGTCCTTACCCTCCGCCAGTAGATGTGTACTATCTGTACCCCGTACTGCTGTCCAGCACAGTCCTGCCCTATGCATTTTGAAATTAGTTTACAAATTGCAAGCACTCATGAGAAGTGCTATTTTGCAGTGACAAATACAGTTTTGATTAGGGATGCACCGACACAGAGTATTTGGGCGAGGACTTGTACCTTCCCCAATACCAGAACTTCCGGTCAGAGGAAGATTTCCTCTAACCGGCAGTTGTGTAGGGGAACATGGAGCCAGCTGCCGTGCAATCAGGAAGCGTGGCGGCGGGTAATGACCCGCCTCCCTGATTAGGCGGGAAGCCAGCTCCTTGCTGATTGGCTGGGCTTCCGGGCCAATCAGGTCATTACTCGTTGGCCGGCTTCCCGGCCAATCACAATCAAGCCAGCCAAAAAACATGGACTCTGCTTCCCTGGAAACCAGGAAGCCGGGTGGGATGTCATTACCCGCTTCACGGCTTCCTGATGGCATGGAGCAGGTTTCCCGGGCAAAAGGAAGCACCGGTATCTGTACTCAGTATCGGCAAGTACGGAAAGCAAAATATCGGCACTCGATACCCAAAAAACGGTTTTGCTGCTTCCCTAGCTTTCATTAAAACTATTTTTTTGTATTGGGACAAGTAGATTGTCATAAGGGACAAGTAGATTCGGCCCCCGCTTTAGCCCTTGGATAAGTATTTTTTTTTTTTAAATTTCCACACCCCTGCACGCATGCACATGTGAACATTTTGTCTTTGAACTTGATGTGTTGGAAGCAGGAAAATGGGCAAGTGTAAGGATTTGAGTAACTATGACAAGGGCCAAATTGTGATCGCTAGAAAACTGGGTCAGAGCAACTCCAAAACTGCAGCTCTTGTGAGATGTTCCCAGTCTGCAGTGGTCAGGACTTGATGCACATGAGGAACGAAGGCTGGCCCATCTAGTCCAATAGAAGAGCTACTGTAGCACAAATTGCTGAAAAAGTTAATGCTGGTTCCGATAGAAAATTGTCTGAACACACAGTGCATCACAGGTTGTTCTATACAGGGCTAAGTAGCTGCAGACTGGTCAGGGTGCCAATGCTGACCTCTGTCCAATGCCAAAAGCTCCTACAATGGCCACACAAACACGTAAATATTAATCTTGCACAGGGTAATTTGAAGAAATGCCCCATGGTGTACAATACAAGTAATATAAAATATGAATTGAAAGAAGCATGGCATGACCTGAAAAGAACCCAAAATTTGCAAAACAAGCTTCTTTACTGAGTGTCCAACGTTTTGATGGGGCACAGTTCACCTTTGTCAAGGCAAATTATCATACAAAAAGATTATACAAATACCAAGAAAATACCTGCAAGAATAACAATGCCTGCATGCACAAGTAAACTGAGGTAAAGGAGGGTGAAAAGCCAGGACAGAGTGGGGGAACAGGTGAAGCTTCAGGAAGAATATAAGGTAAGTAGGCAACCTAGTGGGCTATGACCCACTAAAATGTTGGACATTCAGTAAAACAAGTACACACACACACACACACTTTACTCCTTATCTGACAGTACATCCTCTCCAATTTTATTTTGAATGCTCTATATCTTTACTAGCCCACTTCCTGGGTTAGTACATATGTCTCATCAACAGCTCTGCCTTCCTCTGTTTAATGTGATCCACTGCCCTCCATTTTTTCCCCCCACTTCTTCATTCGTTCTTAATCGGAAGTGATTCCCAACAGTCTTAAGCTTTAATTCCGTAACTGTCATCAACCTCACCACAGTTATCAAAAGTGCAATGTCATCAAATCAAAAAGTATTAAACAATACTTACCATTTTCTGTGATTCAGCCTGGTGTTCACTTAGCTTCCAAAGGAGAGAAATGATGCTAAGCACCTCCTGCAGAAGATGATATGCTACAGGTTTTAGCAAGTTTTCAGAGCTATCACACATGTTGCTGGGTGACTCCTCAACCCAGCACTCAATCAAAATGGGAATGACTGCTTGTATGAACGCCTTCAAACTATCTGAAGAAGAGAGACCTTCTTCGGTATTGTAAGATATACCCACCAGTGACCTGGCAACATAAAAAAAAATAAAAAAAAATATCAAAAACATGTTAGATAATTCATCACAAAGATTAACTAGATCCAAATTTTAAATCACTCTGCAGAATCTGAATATAGAAATGTCCTTTGGTTGCATCACAGCCGGCTAAAAGGAACCATTTTGGAGGGAAATAAGGAGGCTGCCATTGCAGACCTCCTTCTGAAAATGCTAGTTGTTTAGCTGTGTGCTTGTTGCTAGTTGCTTAGCTTTGGCATTTCCTAAGCCAATACCATTTCTCAGATCTTTTGAGCTGCAGTGAATTACCAAGTCTGCCACTAAACTAGCAATTTCAGAAGAAGCGATGATCAGTGGCAATCTACAGATTTAAAAAGAACGGATAAGCATATTCTCAAACGAAACTGCTCCTACACAGATCCTTCTCCCTTCATACCTGCAGACTGGTGACCCACCCAACGGAACTGCTGCCTCTGCTGCAGTGCACGAGCCATCCTTTGGCGTCCTGGATAACCCACAACAACAAAGAAGAACACGTGGCCTCGGACCGCCAACATTACGGCCTAAGCAGCACTACACAGCAGCACATACTTCAGTTAAGCTGGAGAAGTATGCTGGAACTCCTGGCAAATACAAAAGCCTCTCAGAGACTCTGCCCATCATCCCCAGAATCAACACACAGCACCGGATCTCCCCGGAGACTCAAGAAACACCTCAGCTCGTGCTATTCTGGAAACAAAGTATTACCCCTTTTGCCTGGTCACCCTGAATCTTCCCTGAATATTCTGATGTTAGGAAAGGCCTAAAATTCTGCGACAAAATGCTCTACATGGCAAAACTACAAATTACTGCTGGGGGAGAACCACCACATGACTGAATCCTTACCACCAATTTTAAATATCCAATAGCAGGCTGGCTATTGCTCCCAATTGCAAAAATAAAAGATTAAAAACTAAAATTAAAAGAGAGTAAGAAATAAAAAAAAGTTAAATACAAATTAAAAATGCAAACAAAAAAAATGTTTGGTGTGTTATTTTAAATAAAAGTTTGGTTATTTTATTACATAGGCTTAGAGTTTTACAATTCCCATTTTAAATCCATGAAACTAATTAAAATGTCTAATATAATGCACACAATTCTTAAAGAAATTATATATA